TTGCCTTGCTACTATGCAGAATGCATGGGAAAGTGGATTATTGCAGATGCATTTAGGTTAAAATTTAGCACCCTATCATTTAATCTCCCATTTGATCCACTTTAGCTTTGTTCTATTTTTAAATATTTTCTGGTTTGTTTTCAATTACGTTTTGTTTGTTTGTTTGTTACCATTTTATTATCTGCATCCTTGAACATGGTTGAGTGTGCTCTTTCTGAAGGACACTAGGTAAGTCTCTAAGAGCTTAGTACTTTAAACATATAGAGAATGCTGTCTTCTTAGCAATAACAATTTTTTTGTCTCCTCTTTATATACCTTTCTGCTTAGTTCTCTGAGAAGTCAGAAGATGATTCTCCTTGAAAACTTTTTGAGATATATACTCTTTCATATGTAATAGGCAGTGGATATGCTTTTTTTTAAATTAAGATCATTTTATTGGAGACCCTTACAACTCTTGTTACAGTCCATACATTGATTGCACCAAGCATGTTTGTACATATGTTGCCCTCATTCATTTCTAGAATTTTACTTTCTATTGAGCTCTTGGTATCAGTTCCTCATCCTGCGCCCGCCACCCTCATACCCCCTTGGTAGATTATAACTTGTAATTATTTTCATATCTTACACCAATTGCTGTCTTCCTTGCCCCATGTTTTCTGCCGGTCCTCCCCCTGGAGAGGGGTGTAAGGTTATGTATCAATCATTGTAATCGGTTCCTCCTTTCTCCCTCCCCTCCACCACCCCTTATCCCTACCCTTCTGGTATCACTATTCTCACTCCTGTTCCTGGATTCCATGAGTCATGAGCCCCATCTCTTTTCTATACCTGTGTGTATGTTCTGGTCTAGTCTGAATTGAGAAGCAGTACTGGGGTCATGATAGCGGGGGATGAGGAAGCCTCAAGGAACCAGAAGACTACTGTGTGTTTCATGGATGCTTTACCTGTGCCCTCATTGAGTCATCTCTTCCCTGTGGCCCCTCTGTGGGGAGACTGTTCCATTGTCTACAGATGGGCTTTGGGTCACTGCTCCACCCCGCCTCATTCTGAACCATATGATTTTGTTTGTTTGTTATGTGTCTTCTGTTGCCTATTAACCGCCCTTGATGACTCCTCATGATCACACTGATGATGTGCTTCTTCCATGTGGGCTTATAGCTTCTCTGCTGAATGGCTGCTTGTTTAATGTCAAGCCTTTAAGGCCCAAGATGGTATATCTTTTAATAGCTGGGCACCATCTGCATTCTTCACTACATTTGCTTATGCAACCATTTTGTCTTCAGCGATTGTGTTGGGAGGGTAAGCATCGCAGAATGCTGACTTGTTAGAACAAAGTGTTCTTGTATTGAGGGAGTGTATGAGCAATACACTACCACAGTGTATTGCCATATAAATATATGTACACAGGCCAATACTTTTTATTTTTGTGGATAAATATATTTACATATGTACACACCTATGCTTATAGCTTTATCCATTGCTTTGCTTCCTAGGTCCTTCCCGTTTCCTTTTACCTTCTTCCTGCCCCACCCTCATGTTCCCCTATTTCTGCCTCTTAGAACTTTCTCTTAGCTAGTTTGCTGTTGCTCCAACACCCTCAGGATCTCTATCTCCTCCTTGTTGTTGATTCTAATTCCTTAGTTGTTCCCCTGTCTATGGAGCTGCCTGCTCCCCACACCCTTCCCTGCAGCCCTTACCTTCTAAATCCCCCTGGGGACTGTTGGTCCCACTGCATTCTCCTCGGACTTGGTTCCCATCCCTATCTTGCATAAGTAGGCAAACCAACTATGATACAGACCAAACAAAAACTTAAAGAAGAAAAGGAGAGCAAAGAGGAAAAAAAAAAAAAGAAACAAAGAAGATATTTTTAAAAGGAGAAAAAATATACCTAACTCCAGGTGTGTTTGCTGACCTTCATGACTATCTCCCCACTAGTTATGGGGACTCTCCCCCTCCCAGCCTAAAGTCCATTTTTGGGGCGCTTCAGGGTCTTCATAGCTTTGCTTTGCTTCAGTTGCTGAACTTTTATAATCCCTTTTTGGTTCACCCCACTGTGGGGGTTCAGACTACTATCTCCCCTCTGTGTGACCCCAGATTTGTCCTCCGCCACTGTCTGCTGCAGTAAGGGGATAGATAACATGGCATGAGCTGTTGTTGGCCCTGCAGTCCCCTCTGTGCCCCAGCCGCTTTCCACAGGGACGTAGTCCTCTGGACCTGGTGTGCAGCATGTGGTCCAAGACCGGCTGTCCCTCTCTTCTTCCTTCCTGGTCTGTTTCTGTGTGGGCGTGGTATGCTGGCCCCTCTCCCCAATCTGTTGGTTTAGCGATGTTCTCTGTCACCCATATTTCCAGGGAGGGGGTCAGATCGGCTATGCTTGGGGTTAGTCCTGTAGCTGTCTCTTTTCAATTATGTTTTTTCGGTTTTACTTTGTTAGTGTTGTTAGTTTCTTTAAAAAAATGTTTTTCTGTAAATTAAATTCAGAATAGGAGTATGGCAGGGGAGATTGGAGGGAAATTGAGTCTTTTATTATGAGTACAAGAATGAAGAAAATGTTCTAAAATTAATTGTGGTGATGATTGGATAATTCTTCTTTATGTGATCGAACTATTATATTGTATGATATGTGAATTACATTCCAATTAAATTGTTAAAAATATGAAAAATAAAGGTGTCCAGAAGAAAGAAAACTAAAAAGTTAAGGATTACTTGGGTCTTATTGAAACAATTAAAAATAGTCCTAGGCATGGGAGAGGGGGAGGAAAGGAAGTGGGTGTTAACAACCCCAGGGACAAGGGAACAACAAGTGATCCAAAATCAATGGCAAGGAGGGTGTAGGAGGCCTGATAGGGGTTGATCAAGGGCAATGTAACTGAAAGGAATTACTGAAACCCAAATGAAGGCTGAACATGATAGTGGGACAAGAGGAAAGTAAAAGGA